GGGATTTGGGATTTGGGATTTCGGCATTTGGGATTTCGGCATTTGGATTTTGAATTTGGGTGGCAGGTATAACATCAGATGAAACAGATCTTATTTCTGCAATTGTTAATTATCTCAGAGAGAATTTTCCAACGCGAGTTATAAATAATTGTATTTATTATTGAAGAATAGGTAATTAATTATCTAAACTTGATTATTTTTTTGCTAAAGATATAGTATATAATATAATTTACTATAAAAGTGAAAATAGTCAAAGCTAAAGTAGGAGGGCAGAAAGTTAATTGTTGTCTTGAACCAGGTTTTCTTGGACTATTTATGTGCACTGATAAACTTCTCAAAAAAATCGGTGGTAAAATTAGTAAAAAGTTGACTCTCGAAGAAAAAGATAGTAAATTTGTTAGAGAAGAAATTACAGCTCCACTTGGGTTAACCATAATCCCACTTACCTTTACCTCTAACATAAAAAATAATGCTCAACTTAATAATAAGAAATTTATTACCATACCAACCGAAGTACTAGTTAAAAAATATAATTTTAAATTGCCTAATTATATATTACTTGATAATAATTGGTTCTGTGATCGCAAATATGATGATGATGAGCTTCAAATATACATACTTGAAATTGTAACCGATGTAGAAAATGTTTGAGTAAAAACAACTCTCCGTATTAAAAATCTCGCTAAGAAGAAAGGGAGGAGGGTTATAGTGTGTATTACTAAAAAATGTGTTGATGAATTTTATGAATCTGCTTCTTCTAATTCTGATTTTGATACTTCTAATACAAGTGGTTCTTCCACATCTAGTTCAGAATCGGATGATAAGTACGTGTGTAAGGCTGTTATACATCCGAAATGATGTTACAGAGTAAAAAAGAAAAAATAATTATCGAGTTATATAAAGTGATACCACATAATAATTTTTTGTTTAATGAATTATATTAACCTAATGTAGGAAAACAAGTCAGCCTATTCATCTGCCATATTTAATTTTTTCGTTTAGCTTAGGGGATTGTGTGTTCAAATTTGAGACAGACTCTTCTGATCTTGAGAATGTATAATTATTTATCAAGTTATTAATTATTTTTTCGTAATAATATACATTATTAAATATACTTAACATGTTCGTTGATACTCTTATAGAAGGAAAAACCCTAGTCAAAGCGTTAATTGATACATCCTCGAAATTTAATACCATTGGTAAGAAGTTGTTTGATAAGCTTAAAGAAGATTATAGGTTGGAAGGCATATCTGGTGATAATTTAATAGGCGAAGAAATAAAATACTTATATCTACAATTTTGCTATAAAGAAAAGTGGCGAAGCTTAGATGCCACCAAAGTAATAGACTTTTAAATTTAAAAAAATCTATTGTTTGATTTGGTGCTGGGACGGGAATAGTTATAAATGCATAAAGCAAAAATAAGCTTTGAATTTTCTTCCAAAACCTGTAAATACCATACTAAAATTGTAATAGAAGGTATGAGCATCCCATTAATCGATGAAGATTTTAATAAAGCCAGTACCACAAAAAATAACTCACCTGTATTCGATCTATTATTGGAGGAACTCACGAATATGTTCAAGAATTTATCTTTCAAAAGTGAAGATAATAAGTAACGAAAGAGGTATCATGACAACATACCTCCTGTATCTTCAACACATAAAAAAGTTAGCAAGAATAAGAAATATCCTAAAGTAGACTCAAAGAGTTATTGCTCTACAATAGATTTAGGTGATAGGTATAAAAAGCTTTCATTAAAAATGTACCTCAATAATATTTGGAAGTCAGCCCTATAAGAAATATACATCATTGAAATATGATTAAAATATATTTAAAATATATTTAAAATATACTTAATTATATTTGTGATAATCTACTTAAAATATTATTATTTTA